TTTACATCATTTACAAAACTTTTAAAATTTTGATTTTTGTCGATTTTTGCGAACAAAAAAATTTTTTTGTCGACAAAAATTTTTGTCGACAAATTTTCATTTTTGTCGACAATTGTCATTGTCGACAATTGTCATTGCAAGCCCTANGCCGGCAGTGATTGAGGCGACCATCAAGCGAAAGGGCATTTCCTCCTACTTTGACTCACCTGAACGCTCTCTGAACTTCTGCTGCTTGGAATACTGATACACACATGGCCTATTGCATTTGCACTTCTCTACCAAGTTTTTACAGGAAATATAGTTTTTTTGTAAATGAGAAAATGCATTTTTAATAGTCTCAGTTCTAGCACTAATTTCCTGGTAAAATTTTTAAAGCTTTTTCTCATACTGCTCAATACCTTACTACTGTTTTTACTCAACTCAGTGAAAAAGTAAATAATAAATCATCAAATGACTACTGCACTTGATTTTTGTAGACAAAGAAAAAGCAAACAAAAATGTAAAAAATAATCTCTACAGGTAGACTTTAGTTGTGCTTAATTTTCATCATTTAAATTGTAATTTTTTAGTTTAATTTGATTTAAAAGCAGCTCAAACTTGCACTAAAACTCTTTAAATTTTTAATAACTACTTATCATTTTGTTACAACCAAGCTTCTGGACCATGTTTTTCTTTGATTAGAGTTACCGCGTCAACTACTTGACCATTCTGCAAACAAAAAGTTTAACAAACGTTTAAGTGAAAAACTAAACATATATTTAACCTTGACGGTTGACCGCTGCCTGACTCGAATGTGCGTTTTGTTGAGCACGTGAAACTCGGTGATGCCATAGTCGCTGATGCGTTTTGCACTCCAGTGTTCGGGTTTACTGACAAAGGGATCAACTTCCTCTTGACAGCCTGCCGAGCCGACCAACAAGTGAATTGGCGCCTTTGGGTTGCGATAGGGCTCCTCTGCTGAGCCATTGAACACTTGCCGATCGTAAACTGGGAACAATCGCTCGTAGGTGTGTTCGTGAGCGCCGATGATTATGTCTACTCCGTAACGGTAAAAAAGATCCTCCAGACCATACTTTTGCACTATGGGAATGCCTTTTCGAAGCTGTAAACAGATAAGTGAAAAAAGGTAGGATCATTTGACAAAAAATAACTTACAATACTCTCGTTGTCTGTACAGTCGTCATGATCGACGCTGCTGCAGTACATTGGCCGGTGACCTGCGACAATGAGCCACGGCCTTTTAGCTTTATTTTCCGGCTTGTTTGCCTCTTTCAAATCTGCTTCCAACCATTCAAACTGATTGTGAATTTGCATCGAGCCATACTGTGTGAAGTAGTAAAACTCACTACTGAACGCCACTACATGCACTGGACCAATGTTGAAGCTGTAAAAGTGATTGTTTACACTGCCACTCTTCTGGTCAATCATCGTAAAACGTGACACATATTGACTAAAGTTACTGTTTTAAAAAAAGATAAATAAGATTTTATCTAACTGAAAATAAATCTTACCTCGCACTCTCATGGTTGCCCACCGTCATTTGGTAGGGCAGCGAAGCCATGGCTGTTTCCATTTGCCGAAAAAACTCATCTCCGATTTGACCGTTGAGTGAGTCCAAGTTGTAGGAAATGTCTCCTACATGGAAAATTGCATCATAGGCACCCTCTGCAACCTGCTTGTTGATGCTGTTCAGACGGTTAGAATACGTTATAAAAGTGAATCCTTCTTTACTTACAATGGTATAGAGACGCCGTTAATAAGGCCAAGATCACCGTAGATGGCAATTCGTGGTGACCAACTCTCTTCTACCTCTGGTTTGGTGGTAAAGTTAAACGTCTTTGTCCAGCCATGTTCAGCATTGCCCGCACGGTAGTCTAAAGAGTCATCAAGTTAAAAACGACTATTTGACTTAGTACTTACAGTAGGTTGTGTTGTGCTTCAGTTTAGAAAGTAGCACTCGGTGGACAAAAGATAGACGTTTTTCATTCCAAAAGAGAGTTGCGTGACCGCTCTGGATCTGATTAAGGTGAGTCTCCTCAAAACCAAACTGCACGGTTGGGTGAGCTTTGTAGGTGCTTTCATTCTCAAAGGTCATCCAAGTGACCCACAGCTGATCTACGGCTGCACCGTAACTGAGATGGACCTGTTCAGGGGCTCCAATGACCACCGGGTCACCGATTGTTGCTTGACCAATGCCTAGCAAACAGCCAGTGAAGATTGCTAGCGAGAAAAAAAGAGTGATCAAGTTCATTTTGAGGTGAAATGCGTAAATATTTGAATGATGTTAATGTTGGTTTTTATTACAATGATCAATCTCTTAGTCTATCAGTGTTTTGATGATATCTCAAGTAGTTGTTCTGAAGGCCCTCTTGAAGCATCCAGCTGCGTCTTTTCCCGTACTGTAAAATTACTTATTATTCAACGATGGTTAAAATATAAAGACTTTCTGATAATTTTTTATGTCATCAGACAGAGGTGCTCTTGTAAGTAATTAAAATGGTTTTATTTTAAAAAGTGTTTACAACAAAAAATGCAACAGTTGTTTAGATTAAATTTTAAGCTATCGTTTCCATCATTGATCAATATCATTCTCCAATGTATGTGACCTTTTTAAATAACTGGACTTTCTTTATCAAGTAACTCTGAACAACGAACCACCATTTTATTACTGAAAAACAACATCATGTTATTGTTCAGGTTCAAGTTGAACCAATTTTATATCTGGTTGTTGAAAATATTGGCTAATTTGGCTAAAATTTATTAAACAAGTCATCTTTACAAACGTAAAAGATGACAATTAGCCTTTAAAATCTTTGTTGGTTTGTCTACTGAGAAAGCTTGCTTTTCTTTCTGGTTTGTACTCAAAATCGGCAACTTTGCACAGGCTTTGCGGATAGGTGGAATGTCCACCACAAATCGGAAGCGGATGACCGGCAGAGTTGAAAACCCATTGATCTAGCGGAAACAGTTTTGTGTCGCTAAAAGTTAAAAACAAGTATTTCAAAGTTCCGCTGAGAAAGAGCTCTGGCTGGTGATTGGTGAACCCTTCTTCAGTGTCGTTTACGTTCTTCAGACCGGCAAAACCACCATTTGGCGTGCGACAGTGTCGATCAATAGCCTGAGCCATTTCCCATGCGTACTCGCGGTACTTGGGGTCTCCGGTGGTGCGCCAGAGGACAAAGTAGCTTTGAGCCAGTTCAGGACTAAAGTGAAAGCAAGTTAAAAAACGACTAAAAACTAGAAAATGTGCAGCAAACCTCAAATTAAAACGTCGATTTTCAATTTCTTTGTAGATAAAATGGCCATCCTCTACACCATCCGGATAGAACTTTGCCGAGCCCAGGCCTGTTTGACTTCGATTCGACTCTCGGTAGCAGGTCTCCGTGAGCGCCTCTGCCATCTCGCGGTGTCTGATTGCCTGCTCAATTGCCCGTCGTTTCTCCTCCGTGTTCAGGTAGTGCCGCCGTTCAATGACGTTGGCGCCGAGCATCAGCATGGCGCCCAGGTAGCAGCCCGAGTAGCGCATGTACCGCTCATGAGTGCCCTTCTCCAGGTCGTAGTCCCTCGCCCAGAAGACGTCCACGTGTGAGCGGGTGATGAGGCGCATCGTCTCCACGGCCTCCATTGCCCGTCGGTACAGCTGAAAGTCCTCACCACTCAGGCCACCGGTCATGAGAACTGACTTGAGAAGGTCCTCGTAAAAGTGGCTGGCCAGCTCAAAGAGCGTACTCGTCGTCGAGCGCCACTGACCGCCAATGTCCATCGCCTGCTGGTAGAGGCCACTTGGCTTGACAGCCGTTTTCATATTGTTTCGCATTCTTGCCACAATCCACTGGTGCTTGCTGTTTTTGGAGACCACCGAAAGGTAGGTGTGCTCCAGGTAAAGACCGCCAAAGTAGGACAGTGCAGAGGTTTCTTCAGAGGTAAGGTTGGTGCTTGGGTTGAAGGTCCGGTAGGGAATACCTGACCAGTAGAAAATTGATGCTGTACACTTTGTTTCAACTTTGTTTACCTTTGTTTACTCACCAGTACTCGTATTGAAAGCCTGCTCAATCTGCTCTGCAATGGCCACCGCTTTCTCTACAAACATCCAATCTCCGGTTAGGGCGTAGCAGGAGAGAAGCCCGCCCATGTATCGAGTCACCTGATGGTGCACCAGCATTAGATTGTCAATGGCGGTAAAGTTAAACTGCTGCTCAATCCACTGCCTTCCCTGGTTAAACTGCTCATGGAGCTCCATAATCCACAGGGTGGACATAGACGCCAGAATGGATCGACCAGAGTTGTCAAACGACCGACCTAGCCTAGGGCGGCGGTAGTACGTGAGGAGGACGTCATCACCCCAGGCGTACTTTGCGTAGGCGTTCCACGCTGACAATGTCATGTTCTTCACCAGCTCCAGTCGAGGTTTCATGTTTGTCGGATGAGCTAACAATGGTTTTAAGTAAAGTATGCTCAAGTTAGTCGTTTCAATTTGTGTTTGACAACAACTAACCATTGTTGGCGACGATCCGTCTAAATCGATCGGTGACCTTCTTTTTCCACATTTTCAAGTCAGTTAGCTCTTCAGTTGACTTGCGCTGACTTTTTAGCAAGTTTTTCAGCTCTTGCTTGACGGAAACTTCATTTGCTTTGAGACGTGCTAGCTGTTGTTGAATGCTGATCAAACTGGTCGGCAAAGAGTTGACGTTCCATTCTTTTGTCAAGAGATAAGTTTACGCAAATATTTTATAACTTTTTATCTTACCAATAGCAGGCATTTCATTAGCGTCGTCAGTTTCATCTTCATCGATTTGCGCCCAAACAGCCCAGCAAATGACCGCTGAAATGAGTAAATATTTGAAGATAAAGTATTTAAAAATATTTTTACACTTCATTTTTTTCTAAAGTGTAAACAAAATCAATGTTTTTATGATTTTATAAGGACAGAAATGTGGTATTTCCAAAAACAACTCACTAAATACATAAACATTGCGGCTAAAACTGACAACGGGCATCACAAATACACAAATCTCAAGGGCACATCAATCTAGCGACCGTGAACTTAACTGAAAATTTTTCTATTAAAACACTCAATTTATATCATTTGATGACATCCGGTTATAGTTTGGTTGTTGTTGTTATTAAAACTGATAAATCAAGATTTTTTAATAAAAACAAAAACTAAATTGACAAACAAATGATCTCGAAATTTAAAAAGAGTTAATTTCGGCGTTCAATTTTAGTTTGGAAAGCCTTCGGGCTCATTGAAGGTCTGAACTTGTCAAACTGCAGTTCATTCGGAGTCAAATCAGTGCGACTAAACTTGAATTGACGAAACAGTTGAGCCAGAAGAATTTTGATCTCCTGGTAGGCGAAGCGCATGCCAATACTG